ACTGGGCATTTCCACATGTTTTTACCGACCCCATCAAAATACTGGTATGAATGACGTGTTTCTGATTTTATATATTCAAGAGCAGTTGTTCTGGTCCAACGATTTTACATAAAATGTCTATGTCTATACGCTAACTTTCAATTTCAATAGTCTAGAAAGTATGACAAAGTATGACAAAGCAGTAATTCCCGGTTTAATGCGCAAATATGCAAATTAGCCTTTTTCTCGTCTTCTATTTTCGGTGAATTCTTGGGCTTTAAATTAAAATAGCTGATAGACGCTTTGGCCATTTGCCTCGAAATTTTCACACATTATTGACAAGGTGTTCCCCCTTCAAAATGCGTCCGGACAGTTTATTACGGCGAGTGGAACAAAAATAAGTCCGCAATTAACATGGATATCTAAATTATGCAAAAATAGAAAAGGGTGAACTTTGAGGTCATGCTGTGCGACTTTGAAAGCCGTTAGAGAGATGACTGGACGCATTTGAATTAGTAGTATACCAAGGTATCCATTGATGCAATTTTACCCACAAACGGACTTGAAGTTTTTAAGCTAATTTTTTTTAAACCACTTTTGTTCAAAAAAGCATATTTTTGACCCAAAATCAAAAACGCATTCTGGATATTTAAAATAAAGACAAGTTTTACAAAGTTCGTATAATAAGCAGTCAGGGTTCCCCCCAGAAAAAATGCATAGCGCCGGGGCTAATTTGCATAAAAATTTGCATATCATTTACATATCTTTCCTTCATTGATTAACGGAACTTATTTACAATTATGAATATTAGTGAGCTCAGTCATAGGGCAAATATTTTTTTTAATGGAATCAACACATTATGTTTCACAATTTAGAAGAGTTTGAAACATTCTCAAAATACAAATGCTACAGACTAAAAACAAACACAAATACATTATTGTTGCAATTTAATTGTTTTGTAAAACGTTGAAGGAAACGCATTCAAAACGTTAAGCCAGATTTATGTTCACGAATCTCATAATTTTATTCACTCCAAAAACATTCTCCTTCAAAAAATCGATCACGTAATTAATTGACGTATTGTTGTAATTTATTATCGTACCATCAACTTCTAAAACGTTTACAATTACAGTAATGAGCGAACAAATAAAGCTTCAAAACGATCATCAAAGTTACGACGTGACATAACTTACTTGGCCATGTTATACACCAGTTATAGCAATAATTCCTCAACAAATTTTACTTCTTTTTTTTTTGATATGAAATGTAAGTAAAATCCGACTTATTTTTATCGGGAGCGATTATTTTTGATCACTTGATCGCTTCGGTAAAAAAAAACAGACCCGCCATGATGTTTGTGAAACATTAGCATGTGTCCTTTGACCCGATGGATCAAGAATTCCATTAACCAATCAAAATGCCGCATGGTAATGCCGGTAGAACCCGAAGTTTTTCGAATGGTAGTGATCATAAAAATTACATTGCGGAAGTAAAGCGATGTCGTAGCACGATGTGTTGGCATCGATTTCAATTGAAAACTGCATGACAGCTTTCGAAAGAGGTGATTTGCAATTTTTAAAAGGTAAATTAGGTCTTGAAAGAAGAGTTTTTACATGATTCGCAATGATAACAGTTCAAATGTATTTTACCAAATCACGCAATAAACACGTTTTTTTCTTGAGTAGCGTGAACTGTTCGTGAACTCTGATTTGACCATGTTATATCGAGGTGGAATTGATTTTGAAATAATTTTAGCTTTCAATCTAAAGACTGTGTCTATCGCAGAAAGTATTTACTTACAAACAAAGAGGTGCTAATTCCACAAATTTGACAACGTTTTGATAAGTCATAGTTACCGCAATAAACATTGATGATTAAGACGTGATGCGCCATACATGTTCAACAACTTTCACCGCCATGTACAGCACCATCACTGTTTTGCGAAGGTTTCTGACATTTTTTTTGAAAGGGCATATCGCATCATTTCGAGTGATCATACCACTTTGTGTGTTAACAATTTTGTTTTTGTGTTCAGGGGTGCCGAAACATGGGATAGCTGGTGTCATATACATGATATCTCTCAGCATAATCTTGTTAGCGGTAAAAACCTGGGGGGGGGGGTTATATTTGTCGCGTTTGACTTCATGGTAGCGATATGCACGTTGTTCATAACTATGATTCTTTAGATTTGCTAAATTCTTTTGTAAATTCCATTTTTGACTCCGATGTGCGAAGCACACAATGGGAGTCTTTGCAGTTAGTTTGTCTGTATGTATGTATGTATGTATGTATGTGTGTCCGTCTGTTCCACTGCTATCTCAAGTACCATACATCTGTTTTTAATAAAACTTGGTGCATAGATGCTCTGGGCCAATGCGCAGATTTGATTAGTTTTTGGTAAAATCCATGCATATTAATTACCTAATTTGCATGATAATTAGCTAATTTTTAGCTGTTCCATGACTGTTCCATTGATATCTAAAGAACCACTTATTGAATTTTGATTAAACTTGGTACATAGTTGCTCTGAACTTATGCGCCAATTTAATTAGTTTTTGTTAACAATCCGTGCATATTAATTAGCTAATTTGCATGATAATTAGCCAATTTTTAGCTGTTCCATGACTTTTCCACTGGTACAGTATCTAAACAACCAAACATTGGATTTTGATGAAACTTGGTACATAGATGCTCTGAACTAATGCGCAATGATAAGTTTTTGATAAAAATATGTGCATATTAATTACCTAATTTGCATAATTAGTCAATTTTCGCTTTTTCACTGATATCTCAAGTACTAAACATCACATTTCAATGAAACTTGGTACATAGATGTCATAGGACACTGCACAGACCTGATAGTTTTTAGGGTAATATCTGTACATATTAATTACCTAATTTGCATAATTAATAAATTTTCAGCTTTTGATATCTTAAGTACTAATCATCACATTTCAATGAAACTTGGTACATAGATCTTCTAGGACTATGCAGAGACCCGATTAGTTTTAGGGTAAATGTGCATATTAATTACCTAATTTGCATAATTAATTTTCAGCTTTTCCACTGATATCTCGTGTACTAATCATCACATTTTAATGAATCTAGAACTATGCAGAGACCCAATAAGTTTTCGGTAAATATTTATGCATATTAATCACCTAATTTGCATAAATAACGAATTTTCAACTTTCACACTGATATCTTAAGCACTAATCATCACATTCAAATGAAACGTTGTACATGTATGCTGTAGGACAATAGACAGACCTAATTAATTGTTTGTTAAAATCTGTACATATTAATTACCTAACCAATTTTAGGCTATCACACTGATATCTAAAGTACAAATTATTCCATTTCAATGAAACTTATGCTATGTTCACACGGCAGCATTCTATCGGAGCCAAAGCTCTTCCCACGGATTAACGGGAGATTATCTCCAATGCATTCATACGGTCGGGAGCCGAACGAGAGCCGAGATCTGCCGTAGTTCGATTCAATCGATCAGAGCCGAACGAAACAGTGCCCTTGAATAATTTGTGACTAAAAACGATTTTAGTGTCGTGTTTGTGTTTTTCTTTACATGACATGATGCTGTTGAGCTAGGAGAAAGAGCCTGAGCATGGAAGTAGAAAAGACAATGACTGGTATTATGATTTAGGTTCGAGTATCTCGAATAAACAGGAAACACGTCAACTAAAATACGTTTAATACAGCCTATTTGCTTAAGTTATTGTCATGCAAAATTACAATTTTGTAACTATTCAACTGTAGCGATATCTAAACTACTAGGAAGAATCACAGATTCTCTCTCTCTATCATAGAGGGACTATGGAAGAATCTAAACCTACCAGGAACACGTCACCGTACCGCGATCACTTCTACGATTTTTATCTTTAGTGTCTTTAAAAAGTTTCCGTTCAGTTGTTCTTTCAAGTTTTTGTCGCATAATTTGGTACGCCATTTTTTGTTTCCAGTGAGCTATCAATCTATCGCAATAATTCGTTACTATATATTGGGACGCGTACCTCTTATTCAAGCCAGAAATTGCGTGAAATTATGAAAGATGTTGTCTCCGCCATAATTGAATTGAGAGGTTACTCGAAGAAGATGATTGAGGGTGTGATTTTGGCTCTGATAGTTTGGCCCGGATGCGTTTACATGATCGGAGCCATGTCGGGACTCAACCCTATCAGAGTTCAACCCCAGGGGTTTAGTGGAGCCGAACGTTGGGCTCTGATAAAATGCTGTCGTGTGAACGTAGCATATGTACAAAGATGCTCAAGGACAATGTACAAACTTGATTAGTTTGGAGTTAAAATCTGTTGATATTAATTCCCTAATTAGCAATTATGTGGTTCTAATCACATTTCAATAAAACTTGGTACATAGTTGATTTGTTACATTGCACAGACCTCATTAGTTTTACACTAAAATCTGTTTATATTAATTTTCTGATTTGCATAATTAGTTTTCAGCTTTTCCATCAATATCTCAAGTACACGTAATTTTGAATTATTTTTAATGTGTCTCCAATACTCTCAGCACATGGGAGTTCTTTCTAAGCTTTCTTTGATTGAATTTTGGTGTGGTCATGGAGGTACCAGTAATACAATTACCTCTCATTACTGGTTCATTAACAACTACTGTCGCTGTGTCACTAACTGTGTTTGTCTCGCGATCGTTGATAGGAATATGAACAGATCTCAGATAATCTTGTTGCTTCCCAACTCCACAAGGTTTACTAGATATAAGAACTGCTGATAACCTAAACAAACGTGGCACTTCAGTCTGTTTATTAGTTGTCCGAGGTTGAACCCCTATTCTGACTATAAGGAACTTAAAACGAAAGGTGATCATAATTTCTCTAGTCAGCATGCAGACAACACCTCTAATAAGAGATCCAGGAAACCTGCATATTTCACTGTTAGGTGATGGAAAACAAGTCCATTTTTTATCAATTTACAAATATTTTATATCATAGAACTGAGTTTTTAATGATTACTTGAGCATTGATCAAAATTTCTTGAAAACATAGATTCAAGGACAGAAAAGAAATAGTACCATGTGAATAAAACTCTCAATAGGTTATGTAACAATGATAGTAAACAAACCAACATGAATAGCCATGCCTCCATAAAAGCCTTCAAGTACTGTAAAATGCTTCATTTTAGCTGATTTTTGATTAATTGAATGTAAAATATACTGGGGGGGGGTATATTCGCTGGATTTTGTTTTCACTGGCTAGCACTAATCTCTTCAGCAAAATAAATTGCAAGCGAAATTAATGTGTTTTACAGTAGTGGTTTGAGTTTATATAACTTTCATGTAATGGAATGGGGAGGGGTAAGCATTTGCTTTATTCTAATTTCTGGTTTACACAAGGTGTGTACGAGAATAGAATACTTTATACACACAAATTTCATGCAACTACCAGTTTGAAATAATGAAGAAAATAACAAATACAAGACACTTGGTTCATTTTTAATTCTTAATCAAGGAAAACCGACTTTCTTTGCATATTATTATCTCAAAAATCTCTAAGAGTGAGTTAATCCTGGACATCCCTTTTAGTACATGAATGATACATTATCTGATTTGTTTTGATGAATTTAGCTGCCATTGAACTGCTGGACCTCAGGCTTATTTTTCTCAGCTTTACGATTATTTTTTTTCCACTTCATTTTAATAGAAGAAGCAAATATGTGAAGTTGGAACCAGGCTCACAACAAAGTTCTGGTGTCTGCAGTAGTAAGTCGTCCAGGATACGGAATAGACGCAGAGCGGTAGATGTTGTAGATCTTACGGTATCAGATGAAGGTGAGTGATGCATTTATTTGTTCTCTTGTGATCGGAATACCATAAAAGCATTAATTTCCTTTGTTGTTTACTTTCTACTGTTTGATATTAACTTCATGCAGATTTTCCGGTAGCTTTTCAAACTACCGATACTGCTAATTTGAAATTCAATGAAAGATGATTATTATAAAGGAACATAGTAGATATTTATTTATTCTTTAGGTCAAAAGTTAATTAAACTACATTTAAATCATAATACAAAAGTTGCGTAGTATCAATTAAAGCGGGGGAGTCGTCACCTACACATGCGTCAGGTTGCCACAGCGTGTCATTGTTTACAAACAAGCGTCTACCCATGAGCCTTTCCGTTTTTAGTGTGTGTTATCGTCTCTTGGGACTCAATTCTCGCGCGAACACAGGTGACAACCCTCCCACTTTAATATCATCACAATATTAAATTCTGATTTAATTTAAATTATTATATATCTGTCATTGTAGCGCCATAAGTTACATTGTGTCGTAACTTTACGGTATTTTACAGGGTATTTTCATCCTACCATATAAGGAAATGCGAATTCCAAATATTGAATGATTACGCGTGAAAGCGCCTTCTAATATTAAAAACAAACATGGCTGGGCACAGATCTAGAAGCAGTACCTACACACAGAGTGGTGACGTCATAAAATACATGACCTTCAATCGGGGTCGTTTCCTCGGTATATACGAATTGGTATATACAAATTACAATAAAGATACTTAAGACATTACACATAAGGTAAAACAAATCACGTGACAATATAATGGTAATAACGGTAATAAATCCTACTAGCTTAACAGTTGAAGAGAACGCTCATATAGTCAGTCGGGTGACGCCGAGGGTCACGAACTGTGTTGCAAAATGGCCGTGTGGTTGAAACTGGGTCATGGCGTGACGGGTGAGGAAGACATCATTAAACACTCAAAATCACAATAAAACGGGGAAGTGGTTGCATATTACGGCGTAGCTAACATGGGAAATAAAAAAACGCCCAATACAAACGACATGGGTTCGAATCACACTAGATACACACTCACCAGAACCGAAGCAATCAGAAACCAGCAATCGTTTTGGCTTTTCCGTTCAACTCATCGGAACACTGGAGTAGTTAGAAAAATGAACACCACTTAACGACCAACGTCGTGGCGTGGTACACAAGCGTGCCATCAAAATAAAACAAAATTAGCTTGAAAAGACAGTGGGTTCGAGTCCCGCTCAGAGCTACCGTAAAAACGTAAATCAAATAAACTGAAATCTCTCAAACCGTAAACAAGTAAACAAAGAACGTCGCAAAAAAATAATAAA